TGGGGGGTAGTCATTCTGTTGTTGAATGGCAGTCTGGAAAAACAAGTAACATCACCTGATATCAGTGCATGAAATCAATGCATAATCAATGCATGAAGTTTTCTAAAGTAAACAAATAAACTCAGTTAACAAGTAAACAGCAATATTTTATAGATGTATGTAATGGTACCTAGTATCGCATGTATCACTTGGGGCTGCTTCTTCACAAGGCATGTCATGTAGCAGGTTCCTTGCCCATTGTACAAGTGCTTCCATGTCAGGTAGGTCAGGAGGCTGTGGCACAAAAAGAAGTATTTCTGATTTATGTGACACTTTCTTTGTCACACCTTTAATTATGTGATGTTTCTCAAATGGGACTGTATTAAACTATTAACTCATAGGTTTTTTGCACGAATATATGGGCTAGCTACGAAGATCCATGCGAGGCGACAGTGATGCATTTCCCTTCTTTCATCGCAGTGGCTTGGTTTGTGTTAGCTGGCATTAGAATTTCAGAATTAACTGTTGAGTCAGCGACTCGTTACCACGTGAAGCCACGCTGCAAGTAGCGCACATTTTCGCAGTGAGAAATTGAGACATTAAAGAAATTTAACATTGCAATGCACTGCTTCCGTGAGATGCCTATGCAGTAAATGGTAAAAAACGACTTATATTGAAATGAACGAACTAGCTCAGCAAGCAACCATCCTTAAAAAACTAAAGTGGTATCTACTCACTGGCCCGTAATTCTCGGGCTTTGCAACGGGTGTTCATCTAATGAAAGCTTCAATGATCGCTTCGTTCCTCGGAAGTCACTCGAATTCTCTTTGCGAAAGCATTTCATCGAACTAGCTCAGCAAGCAACCATCCTTAAAAAACTGAAGTGGTTTCTACTCACTGGCCCGTAATTCTCGGGCTTTGCAACGGGTGTTCATCCGATGAAAGCTTCAATGATCGCTTCGTTCCTCGGAAGTCACTTGAATTCTCTTTGCGAAAGCATCTGATAGAGTCAAAATAAACAGAACGAAAAAGAGTGTCGGTCGACAGTGGCTTGAAATATTTACAGCGAAACAAAACATTGTGAGACACATCCGAACGTACTGCGAGTCGTTACCTGCCGTTCCTACCGTTGGCCGCCTTATATTTTGAAATGAGGATAATAATGTTGATAGGCTACTGCTGACTATGAGTCAGCTGGAGCAAAAACTAATACAAAAAGTTGATGATGCAGCACATGTTTAAGAAAAACCACTTGCTATAAGAACAAGTTTTTTATCTGTAGTGGTACGCAAAGGTGTAGTATTTGATCATTTTAGAATTTAAACTTGGCCCCGACGAGGGTGCCCCTACAAGAAAGTGCAATAGTGCGAGTAGTGAGATAGGTCAGTAGATCCACTCTGGGTGTTTGAAGCAGAAATGCGTCGCGGTTGCTTTTTTTGCCCCCTACAGATGATCACTTGAACTTGAGAGTTTCCGGGGCCTGGGTCAAGCTTTATGCATGAATGGCGATTTCCCAGCCAACCGCCAAACTAGCACTTGAAGGGCAATTAGGGCATGTTCCGACAAAGCGGTCTGTTCGGTTTGCGGTTCCCTGCGGGTCTGTTGAATCTGCGTGGTACAGATGTTTCGAACGCCGTGCGCGTGCATTTTCCCATCTGGTGGCATGCCCTCATGGGAGACGTGCCCACATTTCGGCATTTCAGGCAGGCAGCATGTCTCGAATGCTCCGAGCCAGCGCGGGAACTTCATGTTTTCCGCCCAAGGTGACGTCATCAGGCGCAGCAAACGCATGGATCATGAAGCGTCAGTTAGGTGTAGTGTCTGGTCGTTTTCGTGCACAACGACACACAGAACAAGCTAGATGTGACCTGAGCTTTGTTTAGAGTCGCAGAAAAAGCTGCGAGTACATTTGCTGCGCTGATTAACAGTCAAGCGTCCTTGCAGAACCGCCTCCACGTATTTGGGGAAGTGCTTTTATTCGGGCAAGGGCGTTGTCGAGCAACGTGCGTAGTTGCTTGCGTGAGGTGGTCAGGAAAAGCACGCCTGCAGAGGATAGCACAGCTTACAGTATTGTTTTTTAAATGCGAATAATTTCTTCGCATACCGCAGACACATTTAGCGTTCCTATCTACGTGTCTGTATATCTAGCCGCGTACGTCTGAGTGTTCTCACGATCACCTCCTTAACTTGGGGTTGACCGAAATTAGTACGGGAGGGTAAGAGAGTATGACATAACTTTCTGGTCATAGCACGAATAATGTGAAAATCTGGACGCGCGCGTGGCCAAACCCTTTCCTCCAGACCGACCCATGGGACACATACCCCACGGTATGTGCCATACGGGTCGCGGTATGCTGGCATGTGCCACAGGTGTTAATATCTAACGAAGAACGATGACAACACACAATGAAAATTTAAATATGGGAGCTCAAGAAAAAGACCACATTGGCATTGTTGACTCAGCGAATGAAAAGAATATTCATTCTCTCATTGATTCTTTATTCCTTGAAGGCCCTAAAAAGGGGTATTACATAAGGGGTGGGTTTACAAAAATAGAGAAAGAAAAAAATTTTGGTGAGAGAAATGCAGACACTTCTTCGATTAACTCAGATGAGCAGGTGATAGTAGCGATGTTGTTGGGAAGGCCGTACCAATCTACAGCTACATGAGGGAAAAAAAAGAATATGAAAAAGTGACAGTGCGCACTTTGAGGCGAGCAACATTTACTCGTTCTGGTGGTGAGATGTATAATGCGATGGCAAGGGAATTGTAAAAAAATCTGTGAAATATTAAGCTGGAAATGCTACATCTGTACGATGATGATCATCATCATCAGCCTGACAACGTCCACTGCAGGACAAAGGCCTCTCCCATGTTCCGCCAGTCAACTCGGTCCTGTGCTTGCTGTTGCCAATTTATACCAACAAACTTCTTAATCTCATCTGCCCACTTAACCTTCTGTCTCCCCCTAGCCTGCTTGCCTTCTCTATAAATCCAGTTAGTTACCCTTAATGCCCAGCGGTTATCCTGTCTACGTGCTACATGCCCAGCCCATGTCCACTTCATCTTCTTGATTTCAAATATGATGTCCTTAACCCCAGTTTGTTCCCTAATCCACTCTGCTCTCTTCTTGTCTCTTAAAGTTACACCTACCATTTTCTTTTCCATTGCTTGCTGCGTCGTTCTCAATTTAAGCTGAACCCTCTTTGTAAGTTTCCAGGTTTCGGCTCCGTAGCTAAGTACCGGCAAGATGCAGCTGTTATACATCTTCCTCTTGAGGGATAGTGGCAATCTACCTGTCATGATTTGAGAGTGGTTGCCAAATGTGCTCCACCTCATTCTTATTGATCTAGTTACTTCAGTCTCATGGTTCGGCTCCGCGGCTATTACCTGTCCTAAGTAGACGTAGTTTTTTACAACTTCAAGTGCACTGTTACCTATCACGAAGCGCTTTTCTCTTCCAAGCTTGTTGTACATTACTTTCGTTTTCTGCAGATTAATTTTAAGACCTACTTTTCTGCTCTCTTTGTTTAACTCCATAATCATGACTTGCAATTCGTCCCCTGAGTTACTCAGCAATGCAAAGTCGTCGGCGAAGCCCAGGTTACGAAGGCACTCTCCATTAACTCTAATGCCTAACTGTTCCCAATCTAAGCCTCTGAAAACATCCTGTAAGCACGTGGTAAATAGCATTAGGGAGATTGGATCTCCCTGCCTTACACCCTTCTTGATTGGTATTTTGTTGCTTTTTTTATGAACCATTGTGGTAACAGTTGATCCCCTGTACATTTCTTCCAGGATGTTTACATATGCTTTATCGACCCCTTAATTTCGCAGTGTCTGCATGACTGCTGATATTTCTACAATAGTGTTATGTGGGGTTTAACGTTCCAAAACCAGCATATGATTATGAGAGATGCCGTAGTGGTGGGCTCCGGAAATTTAGACCACCTGGTGTTCTTTAATGTGCACCCAAGTCTGAGCACAAGGGCCTACAGCATTTTCGCCCCCATCAAAAATGCAGCCGCTACAGCCGGGATTCGGTCCCGCGACCTGCTGGTCAGCAGCCGAGTACCTTAGCCACTAGACCACCGCGGCGAGGCTGCACGTTGTTTTTGAGTTCGACCGCTTACAGGCGTGGCCAGCACCGATATATACTGCAGCAGATGCGCTGTTCAAAGAATGCTCCAAGAAAATCATCATAGTGAAAGGACAAGAATAACAAAGTGTGCACTTACGAAAGGCAGAGTTCTTTTTTTTATATTTTGAATACATGATTGGGCATACTTTCTAGCGATAATTTTCTATTCTGTTCCTCTCTAACTCATTCTGAGCATTCTCGAGATCAGCGAGGCCAATGACAGGAAACGAATAAAATCATCGAAAAAGAAGAGAATCACGACACAATATGATATAAAACTGAAGTGCATCACCTAGCCGCATCGCGCAATTTCGAAACGTTTCAGGGACTGCGCAAATGCTAGAGGTGCAGTATACAATGCAAGTAATTGGTTTTGATCCCCCGAGTATTGTGGTCTCAGGCATATAGTGTATGTAAAGCGATAGGTCGTTATTTGATTGATATGTGGGGTTTAACGTCCCAAAACCACCATATGGTTATGAGAGACGCCATAGTCGAACGCTCTGGAAATTTTGACGGCCTGGGTTTCAGCACACGGTCCTTCAGCATTTTCGCCTCTATCGAAAATGCCGCCACCGCAGCCAGGATTCGATCCTGCGACCTACGGGTCAGCGGCCGAGTACCTTAGTCTCTAGACCACCGCGGCGGGGCCAACGCTGGATTACTTGAGTTAATCTGTTTGCCGAAAAAATAATGTTCCATGTGCATCTTTAGTCCACGGACGCGAATTGCCGTGCAATAGTCATATGCAGGTTCGCTGTTAAAAATAATGTTGTATCACTTCTGGTGCGCTACTCTGTAGTGAGTCTGTCCTTGTTTTCTCTGCATCTGAATTATACGCGTACAAACTTGCTTGTTTTTTTTTCTGATCCTTTTGCAGGCGAGGCTATCAAGTGCTGGGAATGCAACTCTCACGCAGATCCAAGGTGCGCCGACCCCTTTGACAACACGTCGTTGCCCATCGGCGAATGTGCTGCCCGGAGTTTGCCCCACTACCCAAATCTCAAGGCGACCATGTGCCGCAAGATTCGACAGAAAGGTGTCGATTAATTTATTCAGAGTTTTTATGCGCCAAATGTATGATACACTTATGGTACACGCCTCAGCGGGAAACACTGTACCTAAATCTAAGCATGCTGGCTTTCGTGCATTTCATCCTCATTTAACTCGTATGGATTACGTGGGACAGGTAGAACGTGGGACAGGTTTGACCGAAAGTGTGCGCTTTTTTATGTTTGTATAAAAATCTGCATCTGAAGAAAATGCAGACAATCTTTAATAAGTAAGTGATCTCAATGTATGAACTGGACAATGACTACACATACTGTGCTCATTCATGTATTATAAGCCCTATAATGTATGTAGTATGTACATAGCACCCCTGATTAGTTTTTTTCTTTTATTTTTAAGTTTTGTTGTTTGTGTGTTCATCTTGTACATTACTGCTATGATGTTGGGATAGCCAGCTTTAACGTAGCCTACCTTCCCATATTCTGCCAAATAAAATTTTTAAAAAAGTAAATCAGCACAGATGCGATTTTAGCCTGTTAGCCCAACGCTTTCATATCGACAGACAACCAACGGTGAAGAAAATGAATGGTACGGTCCTGCATGCGATATACAAGGGTTCAATGATTATGTGTATGCTGAAGATTGTGAGCGTACAATTTTTCTCTTTCTATTCTGAATTTCAGCGGTTGGTAGGTATATTATACTTTCATATTGTTTTATAGTGTTACAAAGCAAACAAACAAGCTCAAGGAACATGTCAAAGAGGAAGGCGTGACTTTGCTCACAAAGTGGCATCCTGTTGTGTTCCTTTTGCTTTTTAGCTTCTTTTATCATGGACTTGTTGCAACTCGTTTAGCGCAGTGCAGTCCTAATACCATGATTGATATGTGGGTTTTAACATCCCAAAACCACCATATGATTATGAGAAATGCTGTAGTGGAGGGCTCCAGAAATTTTGACCACCTAGGGTTCTTTAACGTGCACCCAAATCTGAGCACACAGGCCTACAGCATTTCCGCCAGTCCTAATACCTTATGGTACAATACAGCGTAACTGGTAACTGCTGCCGCTGCAAAAACCAAGCATTGTTTATGTTTCATTGACGCCATGCTGGCCTTTAAGATAAACTCCTCTAGACTTTGCGGTCCGTTCCTTCATATGCTTATTGTATGTGCGTCACGTGCGATATCGTTTCTTGAACACTCATGCTGGCTTGGTGCGCAGTGAACGGCAACTGGCGGTTCATCCGGTCCTGCGCTTTCATGGGCCAGCCAGGCGAAGGCACCAACGACGAGAACTACTGCCTCATGCGGACTGGCTCTTACGATGTGTTCGTCGAAACCTGCACCTGCAAAAGCAAGGACGGCTGCAACACAGCCTCGCAACAAAGCGGGCCATTTTTACTCTTGGCTTTCGGAGCAGCTGCGGTTACCGTTGTGGTGTTGGGCACGCTTCGCTAGTGACCACTTCTCCCAGTGTACGCCATGCCACTATGCACATGGACCACTCAGACACCGTGGCTTGTTGTGGCCTGCCCAAGGTGCCCGAGTGTGTGAATCTCCAGAAACACTTGTTGCGTGTACGCTATAATGGAGCCTGATATTACAGCAACGCCGCCACCTGGTGGTTAATTTTGTCGCCGTTCCACCTGTTCCAGATGTGAAGGTGCACCATTGCGGAAACAACCAATCATTGGGTGGTCCCCAAAAAGACAGCGTTCTCTCTTTATCCTGTTTGATGCTTACGCACCCTAACAACTCTGTGCTGTGGTGATGGGGCTTGTTGCACTCGGTCAGCTTCGCTCGTGAGGTAATAGTTGTGAGGCATGTGCTTAAAAGGTGAATTCTGGCTAGTATTCTTTCTCGATCACTTTCGCGAGATTTTACCACTTTCGCACCGGGCAAGTTGAACCGCTACTGGCCAAAGCGGCGTGACGTTGTGTGTACTGTGCTAAAACAGTAGTAACGCTGGTGTGGCACATGGACATTAATGCTTTCGACACTTATCTCGTGAAAGTATCGTCAAACGTACTCGCCAGAAAACACCAGAACTACATGTGGCAAGTGCAAGCTAGTTTTGAACTGTCCGTCCAATGTGTTTTGTAGGAGGATCCTCAGCGCGCTGAGCGAACGTCAATGGCCTACCCCACCGAGCTTGTACTTGGTGAGTGTGCCGAGTTATTGTTAGAGCTAACGACATTGAAACGTCGGGCCCTTAAGGCACAAGCGAAGGTGGTCGATGTGCAGTAGTGTCGAGCACTGATAATTCAGTGCAGGTTGAAGAAAAAAAATTTCAAGCATGAAGGGAACCATTCTGCAAATATGTTTTCCATTGTTGTTAGCTCTTTTGAAAGGTCACACTACCAGAAAGGTGGGGTACATTTGAGAATGACGAACGTTGGCAAACGAAACCAGTTGCTGGGCTTCTCAAGGAAAATTGGCAGATAAGGTGGTGTGCTCTATAGGTCGAAGGGTAAAACGTGTTGATGAAAGCTGGTCAAGAGGGACCGAGCAGAATTTTTTTTTAAGGACCACGAGAAGCGGTCAGCCAGTTGCATTTATACTGTAAAAGTTTAGAGAAAGGGGGCACATACAAGTTAATCTCTTCGTAAAGATAGTACTCATTTTTTTTTTCTAGCAAGAAAATTGTGAAGGGAGAAGATAAATTCATGCCCCCACTTTGTTCTGCATTCTCTAGCAGACCACAGAGCAATGTTTTGATGGTGTACAGTTATAGGCTTCTGCCGTCCTGTCGCATGTTTTTAATCACGGCTGTAGAAGCCAGCATACTTCTTATTTTCGGTCTGTGACCTTATACAGCATCACAATCCTGGAATTACACTCAGTGGTGATCTTTAACATCAATCTTGGAACTCACTATAGAACTACCTGCACCATACACAGGAAAAATTGCAGTGCCTTAGACAATTGTGGTCGCCTATATGTAAAGTGCAGTGAAATTATGCAATTGTTCACTGGGAATTGCCGGTGGGTCATCGTATTTGAAGCAAGCTAGCCTCTGGTGTAGATCGGTTAGTCTTCTTTTTTGTGTGTGCGTTTGTACAGTTGGTGTTGTCACCATCCTCAACGTCTCGCAAGAATGTCACGCATGGTGGTACATCAATAGAAAATGTTTTTCATGCAGTAATCTATATATATATATAGCATACCGCCTGTGAAAATTTTGTGTGTACTTGTAATATTGTGTACTTAGCGGGAAAACCTTGCCAGTGTCATTTGAATCACAGCTGACAACAGACGTTAGAGCTGAACTCGTGTGTAAGTGCGCTAAAACAGTCGGCGTAATTTTATGTTTCCTTTGTGTGTGATTTATCAGCCCGGTGGGAACGCATGCTACATAAACGATTCAGTTTCAGTAGCATCTTATGCAAAAGAAACAACAAATACAACACTGACGTAATGATTTACTCATTTCCAAGTTTCAAATGTTTCATTAAGGGGTGCGGGGAGAGGTGGAAGGGGGGGGGGGGGGCACACTCTGCAGTGATGCGATTTTCTCTTCTCATGGAAGTGCGTTCGTTTTGTTGATTCGTTGCATGTTATACCTTGTCGCCAGCTTTCTTGCAGGTGGTGAACATTCCGTCCATTTATTTTTAAATCTAACACCACCAGTATAATCCCAAGTGCCACAAATCATGGAATTGTAACCAGATTGCCTGTTTCACCATGTACTATTTAATTCCCATGTTTTACTGCAAATGGAATGTGCGTACGTGGATTGCGAAAGGGGTGTTTGAATGCTCGCTTGTTTAACCAGTCCATTTTTTATAGACGGATTTTTTGTACAAATAAAATTATTACTATTCACAGCCTCCGTTCAAACTTGTTTTCTGTTCAAGTAGAACTTTGCGTTGGTCTATTTGGTGCATGTTTTGTGGAAGGAGAAAGGTGCAAACAAGATGAGCACAAGAAGAGACATGAACGAATGCATAGTTTTTTATTCGCCATGTGGATTTGTACAGAATGAAGGGAAAGTAACATAGGGTTCTGTTTCTTTTTACCCTGCTATATCCTCGATATTTTATTTTTGTACCTCGAATGCGGAAAACGAAGTGTCAACACTTCATGATTACATGCTGCGTAATCAATGTTGTCACGGTGCGGATGTTGAAAAAGTAATCAAGAAAGTAACTTCCCTGACTTTTTAAAATTTTTCACTCTGTTTATCCTAAATTGAAGTCCCACCTAGAAACTACCAGACCATCGCATTATTAATTAGAGTTAGGGCTCATTAATACTTTGTGCAACAAATAGAAACCAGCCCTTAAATTTCCTCTCCCTTCCTCCAGATAGACTTTCAGAATGGCACCTGATGAGCTACACTCAAGTTTATCTCATATTGGCGTAGTGCTCAGTCGCATTTAACTTTGAATGAATGTAATGAATAAAAAATGCATGCAGGCTGCATTAGTATGTCTACAAATTGCATTTACAAAATTTAAAATAAGTTCCTCTTACCAAAAAAAAAGCCTTTGGGAATGCCTCTTTCATTTTTTCTCAATACTGGGGCATCAAAGATAAAAATACGTCAATAAACAGTTATAGAATTCTGTTTTCTTCCATTTATAAAAATTTCGTTAGGCCATAAACAAAGTTTGACTCTGTGTGTACTATCGGCGTCAAATAAAACAGTGGCAAGCATTTGCAATGGCATAGCGCATGCCGTCCAGTCACATTTGTGCAGTGCCATGAAACTGGATGTGCGTTGATGTTAGCGGTGATGCCAGTGGTGATGCTCAGCGGTGATGCCAGTAGTGCGCACACTATACCGCTGCTAAAGCTTGCCACTGTTCGCGTTCCATTTGAGGCCCACAGTACCTTCTATTTCCACAAATGAAAAAAAAAAATGAGCACAAATCCTGCAAAATTTCAGCAAACTTGTGGTACTATCTTCGAGGATGAGTTAATGAGTTAATCTCAATGAAGTTAGCCTTTCATCGAGACTTTTGTGGCTAATCCTTTTTGCGCCTAAATACGTGGCTAGAAAATCAAGAAAATGTGCGTGCTATGAACGGATTTGATGTTAGTCTTTTTTTGTTTGTCATTAGAGCACACTAGCAGTGTTTACCCTGCAAACTTTCATGCTTCATTTTTTTAAAATATGTTTTAAACCTGCTGAAAAAGTGCGTTCTAGGCCATTTTAAAGAAGCCTGTGTGTGTTTAGAGCGTTGCGACGTGGCATTTGTCGCAAGTTTGCCATAGAAAACATTACTTCTTTAACAGCTTGCTCTGTAGATGCTTGTATAGCTGGACAACCTTAGTTTCTCGTTTTGTTATCTGCTACATTAATTTTGTTTTCTGCAAAAGCTTTCTCCTGTGAGTTTACTATGTTCGGTTTTCATATATTTGCATTGTGGAACACTTAAAATGTCGTTATTTACTTTGGGGGTGAAGAGCCTGAAGATCTCAGCTTGTCGGCGTGTCATGTTGTCGTCGTCACGGTCCGTCGCAAGCAGGTCAGCGCCACAAAAATTGGGTAAATACCACTATTCGTCACCACTTCATATTGTACACAACATGAGTTAAAGGTTCGTTGTTGCTGCCTAAAACATCACGTTTGGCTTAGCCAACAGTGTCAGAATCCACAACGACATTTTCTAAAGTGTTCGAGTTTTTTATCTACAACCAGACACACAAACGTAAATCTCTTAGGTGAAGTCATTTATTTCAAACACCACTTCCTGAAACATATCTGTGAAGTGATGGTGCATTAGGGAACCGGTGACGATTAAAGGAAGAAACACCGGTGCACACTTCATACTTAGCCCCTCCGTAACTTTCACGTAAGTGGAGTTGAAACACCATTCCATCTACAAGGCACTGTGTTTCTTTTACTCTTTTAAAATGGCGATGCCCAAAGCGTCTCCCGCGCGTTTCCACTAGCGTCGGAGCATTCGGTGCATTTTCTTGCTGGATATTGCTGCCATTCTCACGTCATAACAACAAGAGCTAAAATTCACCGTAATCACTGGCTCGGACTACTTTAGATCAAGGTAATAGGCCGTACATACGAGAGATATGAAATATTTTGAAATGCCAAGATGTTTTTGACTTTCGAAAGGGAAAGGTATACACCCACAAAACGAAAAAAAAACCCCCTATTTTCTAGTTAACACTTCAAGTCAACCTTGCTGCTCCAAAATCAGGCTTGCGTCTTTTGCGAAGTTGCTCTGCAGGATGAAGTGATACAATAGTTGACGAGTTTCAGCTTAAGGTACACTACAGCGTTCGCTCTGCAGCTATATGACGCGTGAAGAAATGCATTGTTTTTGCACGATTTTGCCAATGATTTGGATCGCTGTGGGTTCGCACATTAGCGCTGCCTAGTAGTCGACTGTTTGAAAACTGTGGGGTTTGAGAGGAATGCGCGTAGCGCACTCTAAATGTCTCCCTGTACCTGTGAAGCACGCTTGACTATGATGTCAAGGTAGTGTCGACCTACACTGTGCGCTAACGACCTTACTACATGTTGGCCCTGTGTCCATGCTAAGCATTTCTTTCTATTTTAAATAGAAAAAAAGTGAAGTAATTCATTGCCACTGATGTGACCCCACAGGATGCTCGACCCGCAGTGACAAATCGTCTCGAGACCGTTCGAAATCTTTGCCCTTGTTATTTCGTCAACTTAAAAGGCGTCACTGCAAATGCGTAGAGTTGCGACGTAATCGCATGTTAGGCTTTCACGGATAGCAAGTGACTTGTCCTAAAGGCTATCTGAGAAATACCCAGATAGACAAGCTTGTGTTGACAAAACAAATCTAAAATACTCATCCTGCCGTTAGACAGCGAGCATGTTTAAGGGTAGTTCAACTAGAATTAACTTTCGCATACCCATGAAGTCATTCATTATATTGTGTATATGAATGAGTTTTACAGTGAGTGCTGTGTTTCACCAACAGTGAAAATGCTTGTACAAGTTTTCTTTTCTTTTTTTCAATTGTTTTTTTGTGTGTGTGATGGCTTTCCCGCATAATGCCTCATATTGTGAAAAAGTTACCTTGCAGTTCTAAACCTCCACAACTGTAGAGGTTATAGGCGCTTATCAGGGGTGAGGGTTCCAACGTCTGAGCCTTGTCTGGGACGAAAGATTTTCAAGGAGGGGGTTTCGCTGGAGCCAACGCTTTAACCAGTGGTCTTGTCTTTTTCGAAGCATCAACTGCTTACTATTGTCGCATGTGTATGGACGTATCGTATCATCTTCCTTAACCAAAACAGAAGTGGAGGAGAGGGTGAGTGCAAAAACAAAGGTAGGAGTGGGAATATCACTTGTTAGATTTATTCATGGACCTTTGTTGTTGCAGTCTACGCGCTTGTGAAACTCTGGTTACTGCATGAGAGGTGACGAAGAGTAAAGCCCTTACCACACGTACGCGTCAGCGTGTGGCATGTAGACTGGCGGCGTTACGTGGCGTTCCTATGAATAGAAAGAGTGCGCACAGAGAACTAGCAGGCCACGCGATGGTGCGTTGTAACGCGTACGTGAGGTTAGGGCAGTCAGAGTTAAAAAATTTCAAGCGATCATACATGCATGCTGTTTCTGCTTCAAACGTTCGGTTTCCTGCAGTGTTATTGCTAATCAAAGAGCCTTTGCCTCTTTTTTTATTGAGTGTGCTTAAAAGATGTCGATAACTATCGGCAGCGTCTGTTATTTTTCCTATCTGACATGATACTTTTTGTGCAAAACAAAACTATGCCAAACATTAAATGGTACTTATAAATGCGGTTTGCTAATGCACTAATAATTTAATGTAGCTCACACAGAAAAGAAATGTTCCTAGGCTGAGATACTAAAATACATATGTACCTGGGTTGCACCTGCGAGTTTCGTAATATATAGCACGTTCTATATGCAGCAGAGCTTTGCAAACTCGAAAACAGAAGAAAACACAGAAGCACTTTCATGTATGATTAGAGAAGGAAAGAAACAAATTTACACCCACGCATAATTTTTTTACAGCGAAAGCTGTTATGAGATTGAAACTCGGGTCATTCGCTGCCGTAGTTGTCCGTCGCTGCTGCCGCCGCCGCCGTTACCGCCGGTGTTCGTAACTACATCACACTAAATTAAAAGAAAGAACCTAATACCAGTGACACAGTGGGGCTCGAAGCCAGGTCCGCTGGGTGCAGCCCAGTATTCTACCTCTGGGCTGTGCCGCTTTTTTTGTCTTTATTGCCTTGTACATACAACATTCACAAACAAATATATATCAAACAAAGGACAAACATGAACAAAAGAAATAATTAAAAAGCGTCAAAGTTAACAGGCTTTTTAATATTCTTTTATCTGTAGAAGACTTTCTACTCGATGAAGCCATTCGGGCACATCTTGTTGAACCTTTTGTGATTCCACGAATGAACAGACAGATTGAAAAAAGTATTGCCGAACCGGACGTGCATTAACAACAGTATGCCGCACCACCATTCTAGGTTGCCATAAGCTGTGCAGGCCCAGTAACAAAACTAGGTCGAAAGGTATTCCTTCTTGATTTGATACTGGAAGAAATCTGATGCCATAGGCATCAAGAGGCAGATCCTTTTTCAAAGTTCTTTGGAGAACATCCTAGACAAATACTGCATCCCAGCAGCCAATGAAAACATGTTCGATTGTTTCCGGCTTTTTGCAGAAAAGACAATCATCGCCCCAAAGAACGAATAAGCCATTTTCTTGCATCTATGTTTTCACGGGCAAGGTTCCAGTGTGCAATTTTAAGAAAAAGGATTTTGCTCCAGGTGATACCTCCATTTCTTTTTTACATGGCTTAAGACGTTCTGGCCTGGGCCTACACGGCATAATGTTCTATATAGAAGAA